GTCGCGTGGAGCGTGCCGCTGGGTAGAATGGCCCTGCATGCGCACGCACGTCCCAGTCTTGGCCGTGGGTTGCTCCGTGGCGCTGCAGGAAGCCCCCGTGCCGGGCGCGGGCTCCCCGCTGCAGTCGCTGGCCCGAGTGCCCCGGGAGGCTCGTGCCCCCGGCTGCCCGCTCCCACCCTCCCCGTTTGTACCCGGCCCTGCCTGGTGCCGGGAAGCGTCTGGGCGGGTGCTGGGCTGCGCCCGGGGGCACCGGCTGCGACCGCCTTTGCTGAGCCACTTCTCCGGTCCCTGCCTCGCTCGCCTGCAGAGCAGGGGCGGTGCTCGCTGGAGCTGCCGGTGCCTGTAGGCCCTGAGCCCTTGGTGCGTGGGCCAGTCCCTAGCTGGCAGGGTGAGCACAGGACACGCGTGCGCTCGTGTCCGCACACACGGTGCCTGGCACTGGCCGCCTCAGCAAGACGAGGCCGAGGGCACGGCCTGGCTGCGTGGCTCTGCGGCTTGGGTCGTCGTCACGCGCCAGCCCGCGACGTGGCTCCTGCCACGCTGCCCAGGGCGTCCCGCTCAGCGGCTGTCTGCCTGCTCTCCCCAGGTGACCTTCCATGACGTGGACGCGCTGACCGAGAAGCTGTTCCCCATCGTCGAGGCCATGCAGAAGCACTTCAGCGCCGGCTCGGGCGCCTACTACAGCGACTCCATCTTCTTCCTCTCGGTGGCCATGCACCGCATCATGCCCGAAGGTGAGTGCCGCGGTGCCGGCTGGTGCTGGGCACGCAGAAGAGATGGTGGTGTCTCGAGCTGCCATGGGATGGGACCTGGTGATGGGAGCAGGGGCTTCCTAGGGGCACAGGGTCTGTGCAGTCCCGGTGTGACGGGGACCATCAGCTGTTCCCCAGCCCGGTGCATGGCGTTGCTGGCCGCTCTCAGGGCGACACGTGTAGTGTTACAGGACCGCGCTGAGGTGGAGGGTGATGCTACACGGCCCCATTCCCCCAGCAGCGGGGCAGGGCCGTGCCTGCTGTCTCCATGGGGGTACAGGGCAGGGCAGGATGTGGTGAGCCCACCCAGGGACCAGGCCTTTCCTCTAGTGACTGCTTGACTGCTGCATGAGGCTGCCTGTGCCCCGTGCTGGTGGTCAGGGCAGAGGCTGTCCTGGACAGGGGCATTTGCTGGCCCGGGTTCTGGGGCTGAAGTCGCCTTGCCAGCGAGTAGTCGGCTCTTCCTGCATCCTTTGTGGGCTGGGTGCCCCGGACCCCAGCTGAAAACAGCTGTGCCCCGGGGATGGGTGCTCCTGAGCCGCAGAGCGGCTGGGCCCAGGCCTCCAGGCTTCAGGTTGCTCTCTGCCCTTGCATCTTTGCCGTGCGCGTTCCTGCCGCCCCACCCCGTGGTGTGAACGCGGGGGCTGTGTTGGCAGCACGGCCTCGGGCCTGGCGCGGCCTGGCTGTGGGCCAGGTGCTGCTGTTATCGGCAGCATGTTCCTGTCCCAGCCTCTGCTCCCCGCTGCTGTGGCAGCCCTGCTGGTGGCTCAGCCTCCGCCGTGTTCTCGGCTCTCCTTCTCACGTCCCGGGTCCCAGGCACCAGTGCCTGGATGGGTGCCGACCACATAGCCGCATCTGGCTCTGACCATCTCTCTCCTCCTCTGCTTGCCAAGGCCCCGAGCAGGGGAGCAGTCCTGCCGCTGTCGGTTCAGGCGTGTGCCTGAGTGCTGAGCGCACGTCAGAGGTCTTCTGGTTCTCCGAGGGCAGCGCCCTGCGGGAGGAGAGGTGCAGCCCTGGGGAGGGAGGTGGACAGGGCCTGTGCCATGTACTGCGAAGCTCCCGTGCTGGTCTGCTCAGCTCAGCTGGTCGGGATGAGCGGCCAGGAGCCAGCTGCGGCAGGAGGGGCAAGGTGGGATTGTCTGCGTGGTCTGTCCCGGCCTCTGCTTGTTTGGGAACTAACCGCAGCGAGGACCTGTCCCTCGCTCTCCTTCACCAGGCAAGGATTTCTGCGGGTGACTTTGTTGCTTGGGCGTGCAACACGGTTCGGCTAGATGGCGGGTGCGGGGGACTGTCTTTCACGCGTCTTCTTCCTGGCCTGTCCTGTCCCCTTGCAGAAAGCTTGTGCATGTCGTGCCCGCAGTGAGCCTGCTGTTTGCTGCGAGGCCATCCTGTGTGCCCATCCCCTGGGCCTAAGGGCCACGTGTACCACAGCCACCGGGCGCATGTGGAGCGTACCAGTGCCCGGGGGCTGCCAGCAGGCTCTGTATCAGCTCCATGCCCTGCCTTGGCCAAGCTGTTCCCTCCACCCCCCTCAAGGCCCCCTGCCAGCCTGTGCTGTGCCACTCGGGAGATGGCTCCACTGAGACGCGAGCTGCATGACCTGGGGGTCAGTCCCTGGTCACGCTCCTGGAGCCCAGTTCTGTGCCCCGAGGGCATTGGGCCGTGAGCAGATGCTTGCCACGTGCTACTGAAGTGAGCAGGAAACGCCCAGGCGGGCTGGGGGAGAGGGTTGTTCCTGGACACAGGATCCGAGAGGCCGAGCCCGCAGCGTGCAAAGTGTTGGTTGGCTCCGAGCTGCTGGCCCCAGCAGAGGGATTTTCCCGAGGTTTGGGGCTCTTGAAGGCGGCCTCGTGGGGCTCGGTGTGCCCGGACGTGGGGTCAAGTGGGGACGGGGCAGGAGCCAGGGATGAATCACTCCCTGGGGGTTTTGCACGGCTGCCTCCCAGTTCTCGAGTAACTGCAGGATGGGATCCAGCGCAGCCTGGTTTTGACCTGGGGGGTCGTGCCGGGCTCCCCCGGGGCTGCCTGCATTGCGAGTGCCCTGAGCTGCGTGGCGTCCGAATGGCAGCGTAGTGCTGCCTGCTCCTGAGCTGACCTGCTTTCTCCGGTGTTCGCTAAGGTCTCCCGGGAGGAAGATGCGAAGTGCCTGCTCTCGGTCGGCCGCGGCTGGCTGCAGCCTCGGGTCCCCTAGCGACTTGCCTGTCATCTCTCGCTCAGGCACAGGGTGTTTAAAGGTGTTTTACAGCTCAGCGAGTTGAACTCTTGTTTCGGGAGCTGCTTGTGAAGCTGATTTATGTGGCGCTCAGATTTACTGCCCCGGCGTCTGCAGGATGTGCATGGCCCTGCCAGAGATTTATGGCACCGGGCAGGGTTTTCCCAGCTCGTTCCCTGCTCCGTGGCCTCCGAGCCAGGGGTCTGGGAGTGACCAGCACGCTCCTCGCTTCTAGCCCAGCCTCTCCTGGCTGAGCCCAGCCTCTTCAGATCCACAGCAACCGGCCCCGTTAGCGCTCCTCTGCTCCTGGTCGCGTTAGCTCCAGGGCCCCTGGGATGTGTCCCCAGTGAAGGCTCTTCACCCTCAGCCCACCACCACCACTTGGGCATCGTGCTTCCTGCCTGCTCGTTAACAGCAAACACAGGACCTTCCCCTTTCCCTTTCCTGCCCTTTGCCTCTGTCTGCGGGCAGCCCGGGGGCAGGTGTGCTGTGAGGAGGGGATTCAACTGTGGGATTGCAGCCATTCGCTGGCCTGGAGCTTGCCCGGCAGAGGGGGCAGGCACGGCAAGGTGAACCCTCTCGTGTCTTGCTGAGGACTTGATCCCGTGAGTGTCCCCCGATAGGATGTGGGGAGCTGGGTCGCAGGCAGCTGATCTACTGCGGGAAGCTGTGGCAGCGAGGGGCCTGGGCACAGCTTTGAAACTCTCCCTTCTCGCTGGCCTGTTCCTCATTCGCTCTCTCGAGTGCGTGCGGCAGCCGGGCTGGTGCCACAGGTAGCAGCGCTATGAACGAGGGGGAGGTCTGCGGAGGGGAGCTGGCTGGAAGCCTCTGACCCAGACAGCTCGGGCGTAAGGGGTCTGGCTGCGTGTCGGGCGCTCGCTGTAGCTGAAACCCTGTCCAAGTGCGTTTCCTGGGCCTGGCCCGGGGAGCCGGATCTTTCCCTTGCAAGGAGTCTTCCACTCCGTCCAACAGGCCAGCACCATGCGGTGCGGGGCCTTCGCGGGACTCGGGAGAGTTTGGAGGCTGGCAAGCAGCAAACCGAGGCAGCAGAATTGCTTGAAGCCAGTAAAGTAGCTGGCAGGCAGGCTCACCGAGGGGCTGAGCGCCACGATAGATTGGGTGGGGGGGTACGGTGTGTGCGTGGTGAAATTTTGCAGCTACTCAGCAGTCTAACAGCCCTGCCAATGAAGGGCACTACTTGTTTTGCAAAGCTGATTGGAGCGATGAGCTCGTGGACCGTGGTGGAAATGCTGACAAACATGCACAAGCGTTAGGAGCTCTTCAGACCTGCGCGTCTGCATGTGTTTCTGGCTAGAGCCAGACCCGAGGGCCAGGGCTCCGTGGTGGGGTGGAATCGAGTGGCCGGTGACAGGCGTGAGGTCAGGCTGGGCCTCCGAGGAGCCGTCTCGTCCGGGGCTGCCTGCGATTCCTTCCACCGGCTATTTCTGCCTGTGCCGTGCTCTGCCATCGCGTGCTGGCGCTCGTCTGCTCCGGCCGTTAATCAGGGAACCGCACAGCACTTGGGGATCGGTAACGCTCGGAACTGGCACCGATCCGAGCTCAGAGCCACAGCCTGATTTATTGGCTGACCTCGTGAAACTGCTGCCTGCCCCCATGCAGCCTCGCACGGGGCGTCTCGGCCTGGGTCTGACAGCCTCTATCAGCAGCGAGTTCTGCTTTTCCCACAGAGCTCAGCTCGGGAGGGCAAAGGCCAGGGGAGCGGCACCTCGTGTACCTGCCCTGCACACCCACGCCATGCGGCATCGCCCTGATGGCGGTGGCAGCAGCTGGGGGAGGGCAGTGGCAAGGGGGCTTTCCCCGTCCAGCCTGTCATTGCACCCGAGGCCCCTGCTGAGCCTGGTGGGGCCCCAGGGCTGGTGTCAGACTGGGAACACTCACGGAAACATCAACAGGTTTTGGGCTCCGGGTAAACCTTCCCCTTAGCTGGAAACGTAGCAGGAGCAGTTGTAGGCACAGGTGTCAGGCAACTGGCTGTGAATTGGGTGCAGCATCTGCTAAGCACAAGCCTTGCCAGGCTAGCGCGCTCCCTGCCTCGGGCCTGCAGCAGTGCTGAAAACATTGCCATTGACTTGGTGTAGGTAGGAGTGCGTGTGCACGTGCGTGTGTATGCATGAGAGATGGATGGAGCAGCTGGACTTTGATATCCTCAACCAGCCCGTGTCTGTCCTGCCATCTCTGCTGGCTGGAGCGTGAGACCACTGCCTGCCGCGTGCTGTCTAGCCGTGTCGGGCGCCGCAGTCACAGTTTCACGTTCACGGAGGCCTGCACAGCAGTTTTTGGCCCCATGGGTCTGAAGCTGGGTGGGTAACAGGGCTGATTTGTTCCCTGTGCTAAGTGCCCCTCATTTCCATGGACATCACCTTCAGCATCCTGGAGGCCTGGGCCGTTTGCTTTTGCCTGTCACCACTGCTGCTCTAGGGCGAGCTGCCTCGGGCTGGTGTGGCGCTGTCCCCACAGGCTGCTTGCACAGGGTCTTCAGTCCATTTGTCCCACGTGCGCATCGAATAGACGCGAGCCGCCAAGGTTTGGTCGCTGGGAGCCTCCATGGTTGAGTAGCTGAAGCGACAACCTACTTTCCACCTTTTCTCAGCGTGCAAAGTAATTCTCTGTGTGCTTTCAGCTGGACTGAGGGTCCAGCCGGTTACGATTTATAAAAAGCACGTGCAGAATGTGCTGTGTCTACCGTGGACGAACGATCTAGTGTCATCCCCCTTTCATGAGCTCAGGATCCCCCACCAGAACTGGGAAGAAAACTGGGGTGGGTGTCCTAGGCGCTCAGTGCGGCCCGGCCCAGAGCTCTTGGACAGCCCTCGTGTGACTTGAAAGGGAGTTCGTGCTCTCTCCTCCTTCGCCCAGCCGGGGAGACTGGGCCCTGGGGGTGCGGGAATTCCCACCAGGCGCCATCAGGGCCTTTCGGGATGGAGACATTTGGGGCTTTGCTTTCTCACAGAAAACACTGTGTCCCCTGGGAGGCTGGACTCTGTTCTGACCCACTTCACCTTGGAGAGCCGGGGTCACCGAGCGCAGCCCACACCGGCAGGGGAGACCTCTATCCTCAGCAGAGCCGTGAGCAGCTCCAGCAGGGAAGCAGCATCTCGTGCACTTGCACCCGCCCTTGGGAAGGAGATGAGGGCGAGAACATGCCTCAGGCTGGTCGCTGACTGATTGCTGCTCACAGGAGCCCAGCAAGGCTGGCAGGGAAATGCCATTTCCCCCACCCAGGGTTACACTTGCCCTGAGCTCCCTGCCAGGGCGTGCTTGGTGCTTGCAGCACAGATGTGTGGTGTACCATGCGCAGCAGGCACCGCTTTGCTCGTGTGCAGGGTCCTGTGTGCTACGCAGCCTCTCGGGTCAGGAAGCAGCCGGACCCAGTAGCGCTGCCTGGCATGGGAGCCTTGCAGCTTCCCCAGCACCTGTGAAATGCAGCATGGCAGCCGGCGTCAGGTCTGGAGCAGCTCTGAGCAAGCGCTGCCTCCTGTTTGCGGAGGGGCAGGAAAGGGCTCTGCTGCCCTGCCTGGGAGAGCCCTCTGGGCTGGGATGTAGCTTGTCTGTGCGGGAGCAGGGCTGCCGTTTGGAGAAGGCACGCCTTTGAGTGACTGGAAACATGGCAGACCCTGCAGCGAGCGTGTGCATGCGTGTGCACGTGTGGGGCAGCGCATCTTCGAGCCGGAGGGCTGTCTCTGGGGAAGCCAAAGACCCAAAGGGTGGTGGAGACCAGACGTGGGCTTCCCTGGTGTGCGCAGCAGTGAGCAGAGGCTTTCAGCCTCCAGGGCTGCGAGTGTGACACCTCTTGGGGTCTGCTCTCACAGGTGTGCACTTGCTCCCCATGTCGGTGGCCCGCCACATGGTTGCGGTCAGGCTGCTGCCCTGGCGGTGGCAATGCTGCTCCTCTTGGATCCCCTGGGTGCTCCTCTGGTCCCCTGGATGCTGCGCAGCGAGAGCGCTCTCCATCCAGCTCCAGCTTGACCCTCGGGCACGGTCAGCCCTCGTTACCTCCATCGACCGCCCCTTGCTGAGGTGCTGACGCGGGCTGTTTGGGTGCCCCAGATCTGTCGGAGCCAGGCAGGCCTGCGCTCTCCCCCGCGTTGCAGTGACAGCCTCTCATTGCGCACCTGCCCGCCCTGGTTAGATCTGCACCTCGGGGCTGGGGAGGGGGCTGGCCAGGCCAGGCCAGAGGGAGCCTCCTTCGGGCTTTCCCAGCCTGGGAGATGCATGGAGGCAGGGTCGCAAGGGGTGGTAGGAGAGGCGCTGAGCAGCAGCCGAGGCTTGTTGGTGGCTGTGGGGCCGTGCTCGGTGCTGCCTGCCCCTCTCCCATTGTTCACACCTATTGTGTGCCGTGTGAGAGTGCTGAGAGCCCGGGAGTGCTGGGCATGGGGCTTGCAGCATTGCCCAGGTGCCCAGTAGGGCGTTGCAGGGTGGACGTGCTCAGCCACTGCACGTCCCTCCCTTCCAGGCCTTGTTTGCCTGCTTCTCCATGGCGTCTCTGGCGCGTGGCCTGGTGGTTGGAGCAACAGCCCTCCCACGTGCTCCGAGAATCCAGCTGTGACACCACATCTGGTCTGGGACGCAGCCCCACCCCCCTTGCCACCTCTCAGCCCAGGTGTCTTGCTGCAGGCCCCCTCCCCTGGCGCTGGATACAGGGCCCAGGGCTCCCGGGAGTCCCTGGCATGCACCCTCTGGGCCACGATGGGCCGGCGGTGTGGTGTGGTGCAGGGCTCTGGGATGGAGCCAGCGTCTTGCGCTGAATGTGAGCAGGGTCACGTTCGCACCCGCATGCACTGGTGCTGCTGGCGCAGCCCCCTGCTTGCTCCTGGCCTCGCGGGCAGCCTGTGGGGGGAGCACCCGGCGCGGAGCGGGAGACGGGCGCTATCTGTCCTGAAAACAAGGCCGGGAGAGGGGAGCGCACAACAAAACAGGAAGCGCCTGAGCTCTCCTGACAGCCGAGGGGAAGCTGCAGGGGAGCAGCAGGAACACGGGGCAGGACAAGAAAAGGAAGCCGGGAACAAAGGGCAGACGAAGGCGGGGAGCTTGTTTGCACAAACAGCTGTCTCCAGGCTGGGGTTGCCATGGGCTGCCACGAGGTTGCCATTGTGGCTTTCCCCAGGCGCTGCCGCGAGGTTCCCTTTGGGGCTTGCGCCGGGTCTCCTCCTCTGCCCGGCAGCCACGGTTATCCCTGGTCCGGCTGCACGAGCCCTGCTAAGCTGGTCCGCATCCCCACGGGCCGGGGCCAGGGGTTGGGTAGTGCTCGGGCAGCAGCCTGTGTGCGCCACGCACACCGTCTCCCCAGCCTTGGGGCAGTGCCAGGAGCCGGCGTTGCCCTGTGGCCCCTCTGAGCCCCCTGGGCCCAGGGTCTGCGCTGCGCGGCCCTGGCAGCGTCTCCCGTGCTCGAGCAGCGCTGGCTGCAGGACGCACGCTCCGCCCCTGCCCTGCCACCCCCGTCCCCAGCAGCACGAGCTCCCCAGGAGTGGCAGCAGCAGTGGTGCTCTCCCCTTCGGTGCAGGGGGGCAGAGGGGGGGACAGGGGAGTCCGGTGTGGGGTTTGTCTCCCCTGCCAGTTTTGCCAGGCGGGTTGGGCTGGGCAGGCGTCACCAGGACTGTCGCCCTTCCCCTCCCCCCTGCACAGAGAGCCTCTCCCCAGCTCAGCCCCCGACGCTGCTGCATGTGCCCTGCTATTGGGGGAACGGGCCTGGAGAGGCTCTGTGGCTCATCTGGCTGAGCAGGGGAGGGGTCCCCCGCATCCCGGCTGCTGGCCTTCCCTGTGGGGTGCGGGGAGCCAAGATGTTTGGGGATCGTGAGGTTGCGGTAGGTTTCTGGGGCTGGCGCAGCCCAGCCCGGCAGGCAAGACGTGGGTGCTGCTGTGGGGCCTGGTGCCAGCTGTCGCTGCAGAGCTGCTTCATGCCCATGGGGTTCAGGCAGGGCCCCGTGCCCAGCCGGGGGTCTCCTGTCTGCATGGGGCTGCAGCTGCTGAACGCCGACTGGAGCCGACGCCACAGAGCACAGGCCAGGCCGGCTGTGGTCCCCGTGTCTGCAGAGCAGCGTGCGCCTCGTGCCTCCGCTCCCCCTCTGAGGCATGGCCCAGGGCTGGAGCTGGTGGAGCCCGCTCCTTTGTGGCGGCAGCAGCCGAGAGTCAGGGCTGCCCATGCACTGGCAGCTCATTGCCTCTGACTCTGAAGCCATGAAACGACCGCTGTCTGTGCCACGTTGCACCCCAGGCACTTCCCCGGCGGCTCTGGTGGAAACCCCCAGCTGTCTGCTCTGCGCTGCTCCGACAGTCCTGCCTGTCCAAGCGCGTTGGTCTCCAAGGTGCTGCCCAGCCCTGACCGCAGACCCGTGCAGCTGCCTCCTCTCCCCCTTTCCCTCCTCCCCCGCAGCGCGCTGTGACCAGCACAGCTCCTATCTGACCTGCTTGGCGCCTTGCTCAGGATGCCGAGGGGCAGAGGTCGCCAGCCACAGCACTTCCTGGCCTGTGGGCCCCGGGCTCCCCTCTGCCCTCCCCATGCCTGCACGATGGCCCTGGCTGAGCTCCTCTCCAGAATATGCCTCGTGGTGGAGTTGGGGATAGGCCTGTGCTGCCGATACCCATGCTGGGGTCTGGCTGATACCTGCCCTGATGGTCCCCAGCGTGCACGTGGGCATGCTGCCTGCAGCCTGTCCATCACAGCATTGGCCGCCCGCGCTAGGCCCTGCGCAACTGTGACATGGTGCCTGGGGACACAAGCAGACACTGCCCTATGGTGTGGCCAGTAGCACCGCGCTGACCCACATTATGGCTGGGCCAGGTCTTGCGCAGGATCAGGCCTGCGGACCTCAGTGTGCCTGTGCACGGCAGCTGGTTGTTGGCCTGCACTGCGGTAGGGGAGCTCAGGCTCCAGCATCGCGTCTGATGGGACCTGAGGGAGCAGGCTCAAGCCCGTGCGTCTGCCGTGACTGCTACTGCCACCGCCACCGTTGTGTGGGTCTGCCTTTTGCCTCTGACTGCCCCTCTCTGCCTTCCAGAAATCCACCGCGTGATCCAGGTGGACTTGGACCTGAAGTACAAGGCCAACATCCGGGACCTGTTTGAGGAGTTCGACAAGTTCCCGCCGGGAGCCGTCATCGGGATAGACCGGGAGATGCAGCCGGTGTCAGAG